CCACTCCTCGGAAGGAAGGTTGGGCAATCCTACTTCCGTAGCGATACTGCCTCGGAAACCCAAGGAGGGGTCGCTATGAGTCAGGGCTGACTCGACGCACATAACAACAACAACAACAACATACAGTTGGAACACCATTCTTCTTTCATAAATCAATTGCATTGTCAGAAACATGTTGGCCTTTTGTTTCAGTCACCTTTGGGACTTTAAATATACATGTAGTCCCTGACTCGTGACGGGACTCCATTCTGACGACCATGTCATAAATCATTTCTGGCATAGTTCAAATACTTCTTTTTTTTTCCTTAGTTTTTATTATTATTGCCTTTTATTATCTGTATCTTTATAAATCTGCCAGTATTTTGAACAATAAATTATATAATTGAGCATCTGTGAGTGAACATCTGAGAATGATAATATCAACAAATTACGAACAGCAACATACTACTAACAAGTAAGATGTACCAAAGATAAAGGTGGTTGTAAGTGCAGTTTGTCGTAACTCAAATACGTAGTCGTTGACTACCCAAATTTTAGATAAGCACCACATTCTGTACTGTTTGCTTAAAAGACTCTTTTCTAGGAAGAGTGAAGGAAATCAAAGATACAAGGAAACAATTAGTCCAAAGGACTAATGGACCACATGAAACCCAGCTTCCAGAACCCTGAAACCCAAAGAACTAGATGGTCCCCAGCTACCACTGCAGACTGACCTGAAAGGAATGACGACAGGAGGTCCTGGATAGAGTAGGAGAAAACTGTGGAGCAAAACTCAAAATCATAAGAAAGATCATGCTTTACTGGTCTGATAGAGACTGAACCCTTGACACTGTGGTCCTTAGACACTCTTGAAGCCTAAACTCAGCTTTCAAGCCATGGCTCAACTTTCCGCCAAATAATTGACAGGCTTAGAAAGTGAACAATAACACCACCGAGGTACACACTTCTTAGAGCAGTCAGCTGTATGAGATCAAAAGAAAAGGTCAGCATTTGCCCAAGGAGCTCAGAGGGCAGGGACAGGAAAGGAGGATGAGTGGGAACAGGAAATATAGGGAGAAAGGGAGTAGAGTACTTGTTAAATTGTGGGGATTGCGGTCAATATCACAAAACAAAATGTAGATGAATTGTTGAATGGAAAACCAATTTACTCTGTAAACTTTTTACCCAAATCACAAGAAAAAGTTGAAAAAGGAAATTAAAAAAAGGTTCTTTGTTAGTCCTCTTATATTTCATGAATGAAAATAACCTTCTTGTGTTCTTCTAGCCATTCAGTCTTTCTTCAGTACTTTTACTCAATATGCCACTTGGTAATTTTTTTTATTATCCTTTTTCTACCTTTGGGACTACTTTTATGCTCTGTTCATAAGATATGTTGAATTCCAGCTTTCCTTAATACTCTCCTTTCATTTGGTCATTTCCATTAATTTATTTATTTAGTGTAGTCTTTTAAGATTCTGACAGACTGTGCTGTGGTGAATTACTTAATATGGCACTTCTAGCCATGGTCTTTGTGACTCCCACTAGATGACTGGATAGGACTATGTAACGTGTGAGGTGCTTGTAGCTCACCAAGGGGATTGGATAGCTTGTTAATAATGTAAATAAGGTACATGGCCCGTGGTGGAGGTGGGACTCTGTAAATAAGGTGTATGGAATTCTAATGTGAGGATTGGTCAGTTTGCCACCTTTCTAGGCTTAAAATGAACCATCCCAGAGGTGGAAAAGGAGGATCTCAACTACTGTCAGCACAGAGAAGAGCCTGTAGTGGAGCACATCCTTGGCCCTAAGACCTTGCACTGAGATGACAGGAGAAATATAGTGACAGCAGAACCAGAAGACTGGCATGAGACAAAGTGATCAACTTACCAGCCCACAGAGAGTAAGCTGAGTGCCTTTGGGCAGGAGTCTTGCTGATGGAGTAGGGTGTATCTAGGTCCACCTATTGGCAGAAGTAAAAGAGCTTTGTAACACTTGCCAAAGCAGGGTGGAGGCCAGGCTGAAAGGCCAATGGCCAAAGAAATATGTACCTTGGGGTATGACTGAGGGGAGCCTGTTTTTCCAAATTGAAGAATTGTATCTTAAGCATTCCTGAACCTAAATTGTAACCTGTTGCTTCACTAATAAATCCCATGATATTATTATCTGTGAATTCTTTGTGGCCATTGTAATGATTTATTAAACCCAGCAGAGAAGTGGTGAATGTTATGAGAGGAATGACTGGTGTTAGAATTGGTAAAAGGATTAGAAGGTGGCAGCACATCTGACTTCTGCCTTGTGGGAATCAGCCTTGGTCTTTTGATGTTTTTCTGGATCTCCCTTCTCCCATATGAAGTTAGAGGAGGCCAGAGGGTGATGCCCCCATGTCCTTTGTGTACAAACTAATTAAAAACATAGGCTCTAGATTAGATTAGAGCTTGTCTGAGACCTAAATTCAGGCATCACTACTTACTGGGTGACCTCAGCACCTACCTTTTTGGAGTTTCCTTCATCATCCACCCATGCATGTAATACTTATTTTTGAGTCCTTACTATACAATGGATGTTTGCAGCTGTTTCTTCTCAGTTTGCATCATGCCATACCAGCAAATGAAGATCCTGAAAGCTTTACTTCATCCATGTCATTAAGGTCAACTCTATTTTGAGGATGATGTTCTTCTCCAGTCATATTTTGAGTACCCTCCAACCTGAGGGCCTCATCTTCTGGCATTATATCTGCAGTGTTTCATTGCTATTCGTAAGGTTTTCAATGGCCAAGGTTTTCAGAAATGGACCGCCATGTTCTTTGTCCTAGTCTGTCTTAGTCTGGAAGCTCAGGTGAAACCTGTCCCCCATAGGGGACCCTACTGGTATTTGAAATATTGGTGGCATTGCTTCCAGAATCACAGCAACATGCCAGATACCACAGTATGACACACTGACAGATGAGTGGTGGAAGGGACTGGGAGGTTTGCTCTTGAACAAAGAGTAGCTAAAGTGAGTGAAAGAAATGATGATGTAAAAGAGCTGAGCAGAAGATTTCAAAGGGCAGCTCAAGAAGCCACAGTAAAGTATTATAATAAAATGTGCAAAGACCTGGAGTTAGAAAACCAAAACGGAAGAACATGATTGACATTTCTCAACTTGAAAACTGAAGAAAAAAGTCAAGCATTGAGTTGCAATTTTGAAGGATTCTATGGGCAGCATATTGAAGGTGCTAGAAGCATCAAAAGAAGTTGGAGGGAATACACAGAGCTACTATACCCAGGTTACAGGTGAGGAGAGACAATGCAGGGACGCCCAGAGTAGCAGGCCGGAAGAGCAGGAGAAAGGGGATAAAAGCCTTGAACCCGGACAGAAGAGCAGTCAGCTGAAGGGATTAGGTGAGGAGGGCAAACTCAGGCCCGCCCAGAGTAGCAGGCCGGAAGAGCAGGAGAAAGGGGATAAAAGCCTTG